AGAGAGAGGAGAGGGGACAAAAGGGAGTGGTAAGTTCTGGTCTTTTTCTTTGGAAAGAGATACACATTTCAAAAAAGGATTTTTGAACACGCACCTGTAATAATTGCAGCTGACAGAATAAATTAAGAGCGAAACTATGTTAAGTAGAGCAGTGCAATTTTAAAAACAATTTTCAGGAATTAGACTACCTGATAATAATTCTTAACTAAGTCTTGCATTTATGGATACTTCTTGCTGTTTAACTTTCTATATAATTCAACACAAAACAAAGCACAAGGTTTGACATTCATAATATGCACTGGTCAAAGATTCACCCAAAAGCTACAGTGAATGGCATTTTTGCATCACCATCCCTGACCAACTAATAACAGTCGTTATTGAAGGTTTACATACAGATTCACAAGCATTACCCAGCAATAAGATCTCAATTTGGTATTTGTGACCTGAATAATGCTTTTAAGGTACTTTTAAATACATACAGCAATAGCAAGTACATAAAAAAGCTGGAAAAGACCTCCAAGATCATTCAGCCCAATAGTCTACCTATCACCAATATCTCCAACTAAACCATGTCCATTAGTACAACATCTAAATATTTTTTGAACACCTCCAGAAACACACTGACTCCAGCACCTCCCTGAGCAGCCCATTCCAGTGCCTGATTAATCTCTCGAAGCAGTATTTCCTAATGTTCAACCTGAAACTCAACTGGCACAAGTTGAGGCCATTCTCTCTAGTCCTGTGAACAGTTACATGGGAGAAAAGGTCAATGCCCATCTCCCCACAAGCTCCCTTCAGGTATCTGTAGGGAGAAATAAGGTTTCCCCTGAGCCTCCTCTTTTTCAGACTTTCATTTCATGGCCCCTTTTTAGCACATAAGATAAAAATAGTTCTACATTAATCTAAAAAATTTTGGCAAACACCATTTTTTCTTCATTTTATACAGACTACGAGTTGTTAAAGCATTTAGTTCTATTATAATAAAGGACCAATGAAAAGCACTTATTTCCCATAAACTTGTAATTTCTATTTGTTGTATTCAATCAGTTCTATTCATAAATATTTAAATTACCATCATACTTTCTACTGTGATCACAGAAGGGCCAACATACACATCTGCACTGAGTGAGAATAAGCTATTTACTTACTTCTAGTATCCCTCAAGATTTTGTAAGCCACTATAAAGGCCACCTGAAGTACCTGCTTTGAAATTTCATTTTATAAGGAACTATAAGGGAGAAAATATTATTTTTAGAAAAGAGCAACAGAAGACAGGCAATAAACACAATATCATCTTCATAGCAGAGAAGACATTACATAAAAAAACAGAAGGTCCTCGAAAAAGTGCATCAGATGAGTTTTATTTTTCAGAAGAAAAAGCATTCACAAATCTGTATCCTCTACTTCTCCCTTTTGTTTGGCTTCAGCCTCCTATGCTTCCAGCCACCCTTTCAGACAAGGTTAAATACATGTTGCTCTGACTAAAACTAAAACCACATTCTCTTACATAAAATCTCTTATATAAAATTTGGGACTATGTGGTGAAGGAAAACAAATCGACAAAATAAAATGCTAAGATGGAGCTGGATAACTCTCAGAAGACAATTTTACATTGTGCAGCTGGAGCAGCGGAAGATTGACCTGATTGTTCAAGATGATTCCTTTCAGTCCGATGGTTTTAAGATGTACAGAGATCTATACATCCCACTTTAATTATACAAATGGAAAAAAACTATCAAGTACCTTTCTGTATGCTCTATTTTATACAACTTGTTACATCCAGTAAATATATCTAGTGGGTATACGCCATAGCAACAAAAACAAGCTCATGATATATATGAAAGCAGCTGATAACACAAAAGCCACGTCAGGCTTACTTGTCTACAAAACACTACATAAGCCAGTAAGCACTTTCAAATTCTTGTAACATTTTGCAGACTGGGACTTCAGTGCGTACTTCAAAGGCATTTCACCCTCTTAAGTATTTCCCTTCTTTATTAGTGCCTCAATATCTGATTTTCTGAAGGAGAGATGGATTATTAGAGGAATTATTACACCACTGCTTATATTTTCATCTCGAGTTATCCCTCCTATCTCTCTTAATCATTGTGCTAACAAAAACAGATTGACAAAAATAATTCACAGAATATATGCAATTATACATATACCACACAGATACGTATATACCATATAAAAATGTGCATACATATATAAATACAACAGTCAATGATTTAATTTGCTCTTAAGGAGAGTTAGTTTCTACCAGAAAAAAACAAACTTCCTGTTGTCTGTGACAAACAATGCAGCAGTAAAATTTACAACTGTGTTTGATTCTAAATTTACAGTCCTTAGATGACAGAAACATTTCTAATTAAGTATGTCAATGAAAAAAGATTTCTCACCTGCAAGTGCTAGTGTGGCAGTACTGATAATAAAGCCCATAGATATGCATTCATATTTAAATGAAATGTAATTGCCTAATCCTTTAGAACGCAAAAAAAAATTTGAGAGCAAGCTGGTCAGCATAATAGTGACAATACCTTTTAATTTCGCCCAACTGGGTTCAAAGATCAAAATTCTATAGAAGTGTTTTTAAATGCCAGTTAAAAATCACAGCTAGAAATGCGCATGGTATGCTTGATTATAGCCATCCCCTTTATAGCTCAAGTTTATGACACAAATACCACTAATGCCTACTCTCAGTTCTTTTTCAGCCTTCTGAATTTTCTGATTCTTTCTGCGTAGCACTCTCCTGCTGAAGGTAGATATCATTTAAAACCCATACTTAGAAATGAGGGCTCTTTAGCCTTCACCACATTCAAATGTCTTAAAATCATATTTTACTATTTATGGTATGTTTTATATTTTAGTTGCTTTAGCTACAAGGCTGTCTTCTAAAGCATCCTTGAAAAATGATTTAGGAATTACTACAGACTGTGGGCCTGTGACTGATATCCCACCTCCTTTTCCAAGACACAGTGCTTGTATTTCGGTGCCCATTTAACTGCCTTGTACAAGAGACTGAAAAAAAATTCCTTCCTTCTCTTTCTTCCATTCCCTTTTCTTACTTAAATAAACAACTCGTTAAAGATAGGAAAAACAAGCAAACAAAGAAACTTAATTCTGCACTGCATTTTTGTATAGGAGCCATTTCTTCAGCTGTATGAACCCAAATTTTCTTTATTGCTCTTCAGCATAAATATGAATAACTTTTGTTCCAGCTGTTAGGCAGACAAACTTTAGAGAGAATGAGAGGAGTTCAACAGTTATCAAATCTATCACGCTACTGCTAAGAGGTATAGAGGCAAACTCACTGGAAATATAAGGTACTACACTGTATTTAAAAATAGATTGAAAATTTGGAAACGAAAAATGAAAAAACAGACAGACATATACTATCAGCTCAAGGAATAAAGAACTGTGGAATGGGTAAAAAAAAAAACAAAAACAACTATGGTTCAAGCATTTTTAATTTAGAGTAATGTATCTTTTAAACTTCTTTAAAAAAAAAAAAAAAAAAAAAAAAAATTCAAAAATTATTCCCTGCCAATGCTACTGCTCAGTTATAAGACCTCAAGATGTAGTTATTAAAAGTACTTTTTAAAAAATTGGTCATATTTTGATCACTTGGATTGTTTCTTCTACACATTTAAAAACATCAGAAGTGGTCAAAAATCATCACAAAGTGAAAAATAATAATTTCACAATCACAACGCATGCTACCATAACATCATAATATTTTAGGACACCAAATCGAAACAGTGAAATATGAAAATTCTGAAGAAGGAAAAGTTTTTATTTTGTTTGGAATAAATCTGTTCTGCATTCCTACATTCTATTAAAGAAAAATAGAGTTCGACTCTTAGTTTGATTTTAACTTAGTAGGCACTTAAGTTATGGAAAATGTGATGGAGTGCTACTTGCATGACTGCGGCTCACCACCCATCTTAATTCTTTGTATTCACAAACACACAATTTGCCATTGCTGAACAGCAGGTCACATCTCACACCTCTGGACTGTAGCTGTCATACTCACTTTGAGTTTGTCTTGGCCTGTGTGGAGTACTTGATTTCAGCTTGTTTTGCTGTAAGAGTAGTAGCCTATATATAACCAGAAGGCTGCCATTTAATTTTCCTTTTGTTTCACTAGGTGTACTTTCAAAGCAATACATAATTTTTGTTAATACTTTTGATGTGGATTAGAATGACTAAATTCAAGATCTCTGAAGACCAAATGCAGTGGAACTAGAGCTAATCTTTTTCTTTTATTGAAAGAGCACACACTGTGCCATAATTACAGCCATTAAAGGTATTTCACATTCCTCTGGCTGTTGGGCACACAATGAACTGGAAGCTTTTCAAGCTTTTATTTTTAAATAACGCAATGAATATCTACCTTGAATAAAGGAACTAGAAATCATCCCATTTCTTTCTTCTTTTCGATATCATTTTGATCCATGTCCCAGTGGATACATTAAGAAGTTCATATGTACTACAAGCACTTATCCCAGACACCTTTGGCATTCAGAGAACAAGCACCCAGCAGAAGCATATTACAAATCAGTACACCCCTCTGAATCCTAAAGCACCAATTAAAGCAGTACATTTGTTGCTGGGTTTATCACAACTGCTTTTACCAGCACTCAATAAGAAAGGGTGTAGGGAAACGTGCTACGACTTTCATTTCTATAACAACGTCAAGACTGCACTTGTTTTCACTTGTGCACAACAAAGATTTTTTTAGTGCAGTTGGCATCAAGGAATATCATCTACAAATTCTCCATTACCAAAATCCCTCAGAAATAAGGACACAAACAGATGCCTTATTGACTTCGTTAAAGAGTTCTCTATAATATCATGACTGCTACATTACGCCTGTTTAAATACAACATTTTGATGTATGAAAATCTAAAAATTACAAAAAAAAAGACATTCTAGCAAGACAAAGCAAGAGATAGGAAAGAAAACTGAAAAAAGAATAGGCTAATCTTTGTACTTACGAAAAGCTCTATAGAATTCTTCCAGACCTAGGTGCTTGTCACTATTATAATCATCATATTTCAGCAAATCGAACAGAGAGCAGTCAGACAGATCCTTGCCAAGCTCATCCCGTTTTATTACCTGACAAGAAAATTATAACCATGAAATTACATTTGGGCTCTTAGAGTTCTCTAGTATAATTAATTGTTTCTAATAATCATTTAATAGATCATTTTAAGGTTGCTGTGAAGCAAAGAACTGAAACCGTGTGAAGTCAGGGATTTTCCAGTTACTTTGTAATTATTTATTGCAGTTTTAAAGTTTATATCTTTAAAAAAGACTTTCTAAGATTAATAAAAAAAACTCAGAACATGTAGAAAATATATATAATCTGACTATACAGAAGCACTGTAGAGAAACTACAGATGACAAAGCTGATTTTACTTATTCACGATCGCAAATGGTGATTTAGAAAATTTTGAATATCCACAAGATAATTTCCCAAAAACACGTGATTTTCTCTTCTCAGTAATTCCTAAACACACACACACACACACAAAAAAAAAAAAAAAAAAAAAAAAAAAAAAAAAAAAAAACACCAAACAACTCATTTTCAAGATTAACTAAAATAAACACCAATTGCCCTGCTAATTTTTTCAGCTTCTTAGAGGCTTTTGAAAAGCCTATTATCTTTCCGAGGACCTGTTAACAAAGTAGTTGACCTGAAAAGACCACTGTTTCATTATGGGTGCACATCCACTTTGTAAACAATTCATAATTAATAGCTACCAGTTTTTCACTCAAATGAACTTCTCCACGAGAAGCGTTCTTTAATTTGTGCACCGCTTATGTTTAAAGACCTGGACATCATCCAAGGTATTAAGATGTTTGTATGTGAAGATATTCTGAATTTTAATTTTAGATAGCACACATAGAAATGTTTTCATATCTGAAAGAACCAAAGCTAATACAACTCTTCTAATCATCTAATGGCTGCACAGTTTTGTACCATTCACAGAAAAATGAAAGCAAATACAGATCATTCATTTGTAAAATAATTACTCCTCCTGTCCTCTACCTGTCTCCCAAAACTAGAGAACTACTGCATTGGCATTATATGATAGTTCCTGAAAAATCAAGCAATACAGATGCATTTGTGTTCAAGTCATTCCACAAAAGAATCAGCAGGAATAGAAAAGAATGGATTCAGTTATTATTCACATAAATACAAAATGTCTAAACATATCAAAGAGAACAATAGGAGTATTACAGAGAAGAGAAAGGACAAATATGTTTTCCTCTGGCAAGTTATTTTCTGTACGCTAACATAAACACTTTATAAAAAAGATGGCAACCTTGTTAGCACATGAGCAATTATGAAAACCATTCACAAAGATAAGAACTAACACAAAGCAACATTTAGTTGTTATTACTTACAAAGACATACAATGCTACCTGAACATTAGTGCCAGCTACTCCTAACGCTTTAAAAGCCCTTCTTTAAGTACAAAAGACTCAAGTTTTCAACACATGCTGTTGCATCTTTTACTGTGATTGAAATCTGAGCTTTCAAGCCTTGAAATGTAGTTAAAATCACAACTGGTTCATGGAAATGCAACACTTGGAGGATGAGAAACACTGCTGCTTTGCTTGTTTTTCCATAAAATCTGGTCTAAAATTGGTTAAAACACTCACTCCCATTAGCTTCAGTTGTACAAACAAGGATTTAACATCACATCACATGAGGCAATAAAATCCACCAACACTTACAACTACTGTCCTGTATTTTAAGGTGTATATTAATATTATCAGATTCCATTTTTTGAGCCGTAGTCTCTCATGATGCTTTCCATCTAATAATTTGTTCAATTTTATTTTAAAAACAGAAATAATCATTCATAATTGATGAATGGTTAGTCCAAATGATTGCGGTAATCCCTAGTATGACACTGTGGGTAGCTATCATTTCTCCTGCCATTTAATTCTTATCTTTAGCAAGCTGAACATTTGATTACAGATATGAGATTCAGTGTTTGTTCATACACTGCAAAATACTTTGTGCATCTTTAGAAATTTCAATCAGTTTTAATCAATATTCAGAACTCCCCGAAAGATCTGTGAGGTCAAGTTTTAGAAAGTCAAGAAGAGATTTTGTATCACAATTAGTCTTCATTAACTGTGATTTTCTGTTCCAACTGTTGCAGATTCATCCACTTCTAGCCTCTAGATGTGATTGGATTACGCTGCTTAATTCTCTGAAAGGAAAACTCATCTCTATGGAGTTTTGTATGATTTTTCCCCACCTATCACAAGAGACACAGGCCAGAGCAGGCATTAGAATATGGCAATCTGGATTTTGAAAAAGAAAATTGGAACTACATGTTTTAGTGGAAAACTGGATTTAGATCAGATTGGCTGTGATATGAAATTATAACCTGTGTAAGACTTTGGTAAAGCTGTCTACTTACCAAGCTATTAGCAAACAGAAAACATAACTATTGTTTTAAAATCAGCAGGATCAAACTAACTGCTCTCGGGAGTTCCTAACTCACCATATTTGTCTTGTTGACAGAACCTTGTAACAGATGTTCACTTATCAGTAAAATTCCTTAAGGTGGGATATATTATGACAGCACAAAAAAAAAAAATCTGTTCAAGAAATAAACAGCAGAATCCACATCTGAAGGCTGGATATATTTTGTACTGCTAAGTGTTGCAACTTTTTTTTTAAACACCAACTTCTAAGAAATACAGCCTGTCAGACAAGCCCATTTCCATTTCCTTTCACTTATTCTAGGGATGTAATTTGCAAAGGTACATTGCTAAGCTTAACAGCTTCTTGAATGTATTTTTAATTTCACACACAGTATCATTACAAGAAAACAAGAACAAATTAATCAACCTCTGCAGTATCAATAAAGACACGTTTTTCTTAAATAAATGTATCGGTAAAAAAAAAAAAGTGTCAATAAGGAACTCAATAGTATTTTGGAGGTCTTGTGACTCATTCTGACTATTTTGATCATTTAAAATAAATACAAAAACCAAATTGGCAGATTGCATATACAGGTGAAGTGATTAGTAATGTAGAGAAGGATAGGGCCGCATAGAGAATGAAATGGATCACATGGTTAGATGTTATCAAGGAAGGATCTGTGATTACAGAATCAAATATAACTTAGTTACTATAAAAACAAGAATCTAGACCATACCTAAATGAGGATAAATGTACTTCAGAAGGCATTTCATCTAAAAAGATTCAAGATTTGCTGTGGTTAAGTCAGCCTCATAAATTCCAAGATCACCCAGAAGCCTAAGCAAGCAGTAGCAATATGATCTTTGGAAACATAACATGGTAACTGACGTTAGAAAAGTAATTTCTACTTGTTTGTATTCAAATGTTGAAACTCACGTTAGAACAGTCAGATTTCCTTTGCACATACTAAATTTAATGTTCAGAAGCTAGATGTTAGATTTTTCAAGTTAGAAGTGATCCAAAAAAGTAACATTAAACCTATCGAAATGCCTTACACTAAGCCTACTGAAATGCTTTACACTAAGAGAGATGAGAAAAATCAATCTCTATGATTTTGTTGCTGTTGATTTTTTTTCCCCCACTGTTATTAAAGGAATGCTATCAGCTGACTGTAGTATCAGTTCAGTAGATACTTTCATAGGGAAAGTACAGATGCTCCTCCTGACAAAAGTCTACAGGACAAGAAAAAAGAACAACATCTCACATTCTCAAAAATAAAATCTAGTAGGGAAATGAGCCTTAAATTCTAGGACCTGTAGATTCTCCTCGATGTCTTCAACATATTTTGGGCCATCTCATTCATTTTGTGTTAACCTGGTAAACAAAAGAAATGTACCCAAGCCTTCAAAATTACAGACATCAGTTCATAAGTAAGGATGACAATATATTTCACTGATGAGAAGGAGAAAAGGTTTACTATTCTAAAATGATAATTCTAGAATCCCTGGGACAAATCTGTTGTTTTCCCTTGCTGTTTCCTATAGCAAGGGTGTTCCCAGCATTCTTCTCTGTACCTTAGCAGTACATCCCCTTCCTTTATCAAATCTAGTTTAAAGTCCTGATGATGAGCCTCATCAGCTTGCTGCCTAATGTATTCTTGCTCCTGCTGGTCAGATGTGTCCCATCCTACATCTACCTTCCCAGTTTATAAAAAATGGTTCCTAGATCATAGAAAACAAAACCCTGAGCACACCATCCACATAGTTATTCCATCAACTGATCTGTTTTTCTGCCCAGATTCCAGCCTCCTGTTGGAAAGATTGAGTAGAACACTACCTGTACACCTGATCCCTCAAGCATATTCCCAAGTGCTGTGAAGTCTGTCTTGATATTTTTCAGTTTCCTAGTCACAGACTTGTGTGACCCAGCTAGAAATACCAGGAGCAGATTGTAATCCTCTGGCTTCAGTCCCACCTGGTACTGTCTTTCCTCAGTTCTCTCTGGAGAAACTATCCTGGCAGCAGCATAAATACAAATATTCATAGATAACTAGAAGAATCAGCAACTTTATTTTAGATTAATTTAAATTCTTTCAAAGAACGTTATTAAAATGCAAACAAAAAAATAACAATTTAAAAATTAATGTTCACAAAATTTTATTGTAGACTACTTTGCCTGACATTTACACTGTGTAATGAAGCAAGAATTGTTTCTGAGCTAGTTTTACGATAGATTACAGAGCCATAAAAAAGCCCCAGTCAGATGTCAGAACTGTCTGAATGAAAGATAATAAATAACAGTCTGCAACACTCAAGTGTAGTGCTAAACATTAAAGCGTATGTTTTAAACTTTTTCAGACTTGAAACAGCATTTTTTTTAATTAAAAAATAACTGCGTTACTTTTTCTGAAGTGTAGAATTGTTTTCCCTTCCATCAATATTCTAAGGCAATAACTTTATAATTTCAGATCAAAAATATTTTAAATACATTTGTAGTATTGGCACCTTCATTTCAAGACTCTGATTACCCTCAATTTTACATTAGGGAGTAAGGCTAGATGGACATATGTTAAAGAAAGTGAGAGAATTTGCACTCATTGCAAAGCAAAATGATCTTCACAAGGACAGCGTGAGAGAACTGAGGCTGTTTAGCCTGGAGAAAAGGTGGCTCTGGGGAGACCTGATAACTTTTCAGTATCTAAAGAGAGGCTTATAAGAAGGAAAGGGACAGAGGCTCTAGCAGCATCTATTATTGTTAGACAAGGAGAAATGGTTTCAAACTAAACTAAACTAAAAAAGGGAGATTTAGAGTGAGTAGAAGTTGTTTTTGTTTCTTTGTTTACAATGAGAGTGCTGAGGAACTGAAATAGGTTGCCAGAGAGATGGTGGATGCCCCCATCCTTGGAGACACGTAAGGCAGGCCGGAGAGGATTCAGAAACCTGATGTAACTGTAGGTGTTCCTGTTCATTTCAAGGCCGTCGGACTAGATGGCCTTTAACAACCCTTCCAAATCTAACGATTTATGATTCTATGAAAATAGAGGAGATGAAATTTAGAGCATTAAAAAGTGAAGTTGTTCAATATTCATTTGAACAAAAAATAACTTCAGGATCTTTCCTTTTTTTTTGTCCTATAATAAAAAAAATACTTTCAATAATCTCTGAAGATGATTATATTTTAAGTGCAGAAAAGTAGCATTCACAACATCACTGTGGTTGGAAGGGACCTCTGATATCACCTACAGATCATCCAGACTGCCCAATTTTGACTGTGAGGAAAACTGAAAAACTGTTCTGTTTATGATAATATTTCTGAGTGAAGCAAAGACTCCTATCCAGTCTTAGGGCAGTACCAAGACCATTTTCTCCCCCACACAGAGAGAAATGCACACATACATGGTAAAATATAATTATCTTTCCAAGAAAATTAATCATCACTTCTTCAGCGCGAGGAAACTTTCTCACTCTGCAGATCAGTCAACTTCCAGACTGGGACTTCTTGTTCCTTTTCTCCTTCTCACAACAATTTTAATTTTCAGAAATACGTATGGCTACTACATACATAAGGGGGGGAAGAAAGCAGCAATCTAATTTGACTTGACACTGGGTAATAAAAAAACCAAAGCATTCAGTTGGTTGAACTCAGCAGAACAGATAAGTCAAGCTTTCAAGAGGCACAACCAATGGTCTGAAAACCAGAGTTTTCAACTAAAGATCCTACACCAAGTCCTTGTAATTTGGTTTCTTGTTCTGAATCTTTATTTAGATCTGAGTCATATGTTCTGTTCACTACAATTATGCAGACTAAACACTTCATAAGCTAAAATTTACAACTGCTGAGATTATACGAGAGCTGGTGCTTAACTGCAAGACTACACACTATTCTGGATAACCAAGATGATTTACTGTTCCCCACTTTGTCTTAGGTAAGGAAGACAGAGGTTCTCAGATGATGCTTCTGCTGTCAAGAAGGCTTCAAGTGAAACGTGTAACATTTTATTTTATTTTTTTTCTCTATTCAAACTGACTAAAGAACTTGTTCTGGGGTCAACGTGCTATTCTTTACGACTCATCAAAATAAACCACACAGTATTAATAATTATTTCATTTTGTTATTTGTTATTCTTCGGATCAGATAATTCAATGTTCTGCTATGAATTTTAACAAAAAGCTCTGTGACCAGAGTTAAAGACAGCTGTCTTCTTTTCTCTATGCATATGAAAAAAGTGTTGCTTTACCATAGTTACTAAAAATCATTTCTACAAAAGAGACACATATGGAAAAAAATATTTATATTATATGTAAATAACATATAGCATGGTTGAAAATACCACACTGGAAGATTTTTTTAATCTATGTTTGACAGCAAGAAAGCAATAAAAGAGAAGTGTATATAGTGCAATTAAATTTCTGTAACTTCATAAACATTTGGAAACTCTGCAAAAACATTTTTTCTATTGACCTTCAATGCTATGATGGCTACTTAGAGAATAACTTGCCCCCTATTTTATTATGTTGGCCCATGATGTCATATGTCAATGCTAGTGGTATTGCAGTAGGGGTCAAATCTTTCCACCAGTATTCTGTTACATGTTGTTGCCATGCAACAGTTAGCAGCAGAGCATAAGTCTGACAAAATGGTATCTGACATGAAAGTGCATATAATGCACAGGTGGGTCACTGAATTCCTCCATGCAGAAAAAAGTGGCACCCACTGACATTCAGCAATAGGAGCACTATGAAGAGGTGGGAGACAGCAAGTCACCTCCACTGGTACAGATGTTTATGAATACAGCATCCAGGCTCTTGTTCGTCACTGATGAAAATACACAGCTAATGAAGACTACTTTGAAAAAATAGCATTTTATAGCTGAGAATTTGCTTCACCAAATGGAGCTATTGTGTTTTTTGTACATGTTGCAGTTTCCGAGGAAATAAATAGGACGCATTACTTTTGGAGCAATGTATGTAGTACTTTAGTCCTGCTCCTCTAATGAAAAGATCATGGTACATTGATAGATAATGATTTTGTAGTAGTGAAAGAAGTTATTTTTCAGTAATTATATGGGGGCTATGGCAAGAAAAAAAGATACTTTCAAAATGGTAAAATAGAAAAGAATCTAAAATTCAGTTTATTTATACTATCAACCAACACACTAAATTCTAGCATGCTTTGTTTCAATTGTATACAAGTAGTACACGTAAATCGTACAGATATACCTGAGAGAACTTTGTATGGTACGTACTTATACAGTACAGTAAGTACCATTTGTAAAACTTATGAAGGCACCAAATTCACTTAATAGCAGAAGTTCCAAGAGATTTTGAAAAACATCCTGAAAACACATCTCCACAAGTCTAGCACAAGGCTCCATACAGAACCACCCAATTCAAACCCTGTATCTTTCTTAGAGCAGTGTCAAAACACTACTTGAACTCTGGTAGCTCAGGAACATGGCCACTGCCCTCTGATGAAGAACCTTTTCTTAACTCCTCTCCTGATCCTCCCTGACACAGCTCCATGCTGTTCCCTTGGGTCCTGTTGCTGTCACAGAAAGCAGAGCTCACCGCTGCCCTTCACTCCCTCTGTGGAGCCACTATAAGGGCTCTCCTCAGCTCCTCTGCTCTAGGCTGAGCAAACCCTCAGCTGTCCCTCATAAACCATCCTCTAGACCCTTTACTACATTTGCAGTCTTTGTACTGTGGTACTCCAAAACTGCACACAGTGTTTGAGATGAGGCTGCATGGAGCAGAACAACCCATCCCTCACCTGAATGGCAGTGCTGGGTTTGATGCTGCCCAGAGTAAGGTTGGGTCTCTTGGCTGCCAGGGCACACTGCTCACTCACGTTCAATATGCCATCAGCCAGAACCTTGAGAACACAGAGCTACCCTGTCCCCAAATATACATCAGAACCAAGCACACTATTACGATTTATAATGCAGCCTCCATTCAGGAAAATATTTTTTTTAGTGGCTGTCTAGTATTCACTGTTTCAAATTTGATGGTTTTTGGGAGAGTTTCTCATAAGTAAACTTTGATACTGTCCAGTCAATCAAAACACATTTCCCATGACAACATTCATCAGAGACTTAGCATTCTTAGGTAAATGATAGCTACTGCTGTCATGCTTACTGGTGCAACCATTATTAGTCTAAATCTGCAATTAATTAATAAAGCTTAGAAACAGTAAAAGCTCAATTAGTATTATTGAATTGCTTTGAAATACTGTTTTGTTTTCTATGTTTTGTTTTTCTGTTTGTTTTTTTAACTCCAAGAATACATTTAGACTTCAAGAGTACACAGTGGACAACGGAATATTTAATGGACAAAGCAACCTGTAATACATTCTGCCCCTCCTCATGTATATTTAAAGTAATTGTATTCAAATTTCTCAGTAATTATCACAATTTCTGAATAATGAAAATTTTCCAAGAAAACCTGAATGAAGTTTTCCACCTCAAAGATACACATATACTTCCTAAAGTGAAAGCATCCTGAGACATATTATTCCATACATCTGGATAGTAGCAATTGAAGAGCTTCTGGGCTAATAGAAACAAATCTAAATCTTACCTGAGACAATTCATTTGTGTCCACAAGTCCATTGCTGTCAGAATCAAAATAATGAAACATCTGATCTACGAGCAGTTTCCTTGAAGCCATTTTCTCACCAACGTTTCTATCTTTTGATTGAGCAGCATATCTCTGATTTTGAAGATCCAATAACATATTTTTCACTTTGCTGTATTCAGTAGGTTTGCATTTATCTCCTGAAAAGGAAACACACAACACGAGTTTATTTTGAATTTAATTTCATAGGAAGAGGGAGAAGTAAATTAAAAAATAAGGATAAAAGAAGAGAGTATCTTTGTAACAACATCAACAGGGTTTGCCTTAGGGGCAAGGAATTTGTTCTGCTGTATCTTTATCCACATCATTTCCTTATCTGGTTTTCATTTAAAAACCAAAAATAATTACAGTTCTAGACACTTTTCATAGATAAAATCTTCTGTGCATCAAAGCTAAGGGAAGTCTGAACAGCTTTAAGCCTGTACTTCTCTCATTCAAGTCATTCTGAAGAAGAGTATCTGAAGATTTCATAAAATGTGACCTTTAGGAAAGTATTTTGTGTAAACATTCATATAGTCACAGTGCAACATATGCAGGTATAGCTGAAAATATTTTAAGAAACCATACATTCCAGAGAAATTGTTTCAGAATAACATTTGACTTCACAAATTAGAAACTGCACTTGAGTATTCATAAAGTAGCTTTAGCTTTCCATGTACTGGACAGATGAAATTCAGGTGAAAAAGAGAATTTGAATTCACAAGAAGAAAAGAAATGATGTCTAGGATAAGATCTACTTCAATTTTTTCATTATTGAGTCTTCCTATGAAGTGGAACAACTTTCTATGAAGTGGAAGAACAAATGTCCTGCGCACGATGATTACAGTCAGTGATTACAGCTGCTATTTTGAAATACAACGTAATTTACTTCTGGTATACTATTATATCAGATGCTTTATATTTTAAATTGAATAGATAAACTATTTAGGAGTTCTGGGTTTTTGTTTTGTTTTTCATTGAGATAAGCTTCATAAAGATCAGATATGTAAATGTGGACCAGTAAAATACAGTCACCATGTACGTGTTGCAAAAAAATAAAAATAAAAAAATGACACTTAGCTACTATTTGCTATCACTAACATGACAGAAATACGCTGTGTTGATTACCAAAGAAAGCTGTGTTCTAATTATTCTTTTCAGAAAAGACTAGGGTAAAGGAGGACAAACGTTTATTTCACAGAAGTTGCCTAAAAATTTACTCTTCTTTTAAATTGGAGATTACCACTTCAGTGAACATAACATCATTGCATTGCTATGAAGCCCTACCATCATTTGATAAGGTAGAGAGAGATGAAGTTCATACATGCTTCTTGTAACCTTACAGGGAAATTCAGATCTGAGAGGCCTCCTATGATGGAAGTTAAATGGTACAGGTACAAAAAATATTTTTAAGAATTCAAAACACTCTAGGTTATCTTTTATTTCTAAAAGCTAATAATAGGCAGTAAATACATGACAAATTCAAAAGTCACAACAGCAGGAAACAAAACTAAACTGTTTTTACTGTTAAACTTTTTAACAGCCTTATCTACATACACTGTTCACATGTTTGTCCTTCATTTGCCAGAGGCATGGAGACTGAGGACATGCAATTTGTAGAACTGACTGTAGATGCTTTTCAGAGATAATGCAGGAAACTCAGTAGGGAAACAGAAGAATTCTGTAGTCATGCTCTATGTGTAGCGAGGAAAGTTTGTCATCCAAGTGGATCCAAGCTCCAGGTGATGGGGATGGAAGACAGCACTTGAGCAGACTAATACATCTGGGTGAACTCCAAATAACTGAGCCAGGAAAGGAAGCAGCACTTTGTTTCCCCTAGACAACTTTTGTGGGTGTAATATCCTCAGAGTGACAAATTCGGTATTTTTCTCCAGAGCAGCAGAAATCAAACACCACAAATGACATGACATGGCATGGTTACAGTCTTACCAGTGTTCACATTTTTCACGAAAGTATAAGTCCTGCTTATTTGTTAGATAACACACTGGTCATACCTGGTTACTATGTCTAGATCCTAGCCCCAGTAATTTGTTTTCGATCAGACAGTTCCCAGTCTGTTATTCTAAAGCTTGCAAAGAGATTTTTTGCCTTAGCAATATGGAACAAAAGTAAAGCAGTTTATTTCCTTATAAAATCAGATACATTAGAGTATCTCATTAAGTCGTGAAAGCTCTGAGTTAGAAAAAAAAAAAAAAAAAAAAAAAAGAGGAAAATTAATTATAAAAGAATGCTCATTCCCCTAACCCAACTAGAAGATGAATGATCAAGAATTGGATACAGATTCTTGCATCTATGAAGACTTCATGTGATGGAAAAAGTTTTACAGGCTGGATAGAGCTGTGAGCTACATGGTCTAGAGGGAGACGTCCCTGCTTACAGAAGGGGATTGGCACTAGATGATCTTAGAGGCCTCTTCCAACCCAAACCATTCTATGATTTTCAATCAGCTGCAAACAAGGTAAATACAGTTCACAAAGCAATTTCATGACTCTGTTAACCTACTTTCAGTAGATGATTATTTTCAGTTCAACAACAGTGGCAAAGCCAATGTTCTTCACAGGGTTGCTTTGATCATGGCTATAAGATAACAACTGTAATTTGCTCTTCATGTGTTCCTCTTCACTCAGATCAACTCAGAAATACCTTCTCTGGCCTAATAGTGCGCATCATCAGTTGTAGCTCAGATCCTTTCAGTGCTTCCCTAAATTATTTGAAAACTAGTCCTCATGAAAATACTGCCATCACCTTCTTGAAAAATTACTTTAAAAAAATGTTTTAAAACATCTTGTAAAACAGATATTATTTTGCTTCTCTAAATTGTTAGTCTGATCCACATGACACACTTGTCTGTAATACAGAAGCAGTATTCTCTGATGACTTTATCAGAAAAGGACATCAAGGTCTGTGGATGCGATCACACAGTTTGCATATAAGAGTAGCTCTGGAAGCAATAATCATGTATTTTAACTCAGTGTCAACTGTCTACAGTATCTCACAAAAATTTTACATAGAAAGAATAAAAAATGAATATCACCTTGGAGCAGCTTTGATTTATTTATTTGGTGTGTGTGCGATTGTTCATAATGAATAAAGACCAAATAAGTTTTCTGCTCTTCAGGAAAGTAGCTATTTCAAACTCTTGGGAGAGCTAACAGATCTGGGTAAACAGGGCATACACTGCACCTGCCAGATGGTTGCTCACTTTACCTGTTCCCCAGTCTTATGATATTGTTTGAGACTATCAAGCTTCTTGCAATATATGCAGTAAAAAACATGTGACATACTTGCCATTTTATATAAAAATAAACATGTAAGTAGCTGCTGCTTGCAAACACTAACAAGGAATGAAAAGGAAAGTATTCACTGCTACTTACAGTAGATATTCTTAAATAAATGCAGCCATCTTACGCTGAACAATGTGTAGCAATTCTACCTTGAAGTGTCACTACATTAATTTTCTCTATTACTACCATGTTTTTCATTCTGTTTGTCAAAGTAATCTGTTAAAATGGAATTGTTGTGCTTAGATCTAAACATCCATCTTCTACTCTGGATTCTAACAAATTTTAGGCTGGTGACAATTCAACCTTCAGTTTATGCTCCGAGCTAATTGCAGTCATGCTAACAGGTGCACACAGGTTTATTACATTAAGACATTTTCACTTTATGGATGAATCAACGTGGTTTTTGTGCCAAAGGCTTCACAGATCTGAATATCGAGTCAAATATGATTAATGGACGTAACTGACAGGAAAAGGGATCATAAGGAAACAGCAACACACTGCCACCACAGTTGTTTAAAAAATCATCCTCTGATCTCATTGTCAGGACCACCTTTTAATGTAGTACTCAAGATATAATTGCAGTAGATGTTTCAATTAAGAAGAATGAGGCTCTGTTGATGTATAGAGGAGCACTCCTAGACTGGAGTAGCAGCACAGGAAAGAACTTGGGGAGCTGCTATTTGTGTAATCAGCATAACCCACAAAAGTTGTATGAAAGGCACACTAAGAGGCAAAAAAGGGATTAAAGATGCCAACCCTGAAAGTGAGGAAAAGTAATTTAAGCTTAATGCAACAGAGAAAGAAACATTCTGCAACTTGTATTACTCCCAGTATTACAAAAGTCAAAGATGGTATATAACAAAACCAGAAAGGATGATTCATCAGGATACAAAATGAACCTCACCACAACAGACTTTCAGATTGTTGACACATTTTGGGATTTATCTCTGTAATTATATTGTTACATTTAGACAAACAAAACGTATCACAGTTCTAGTTCTGTTTATGGTTCTGAAGGAAAATCCATAAGATATATATTCCTAAAGCTCCTCCCCAATAAATCAGTTAGACTATGTCAGTCAACATTATCAAATTATCATTTATCATCTTATTATTTATATATGCAGTCCTGAATAACACTAAAGCATTCAACATTGAAAAGACTAAGTTGCATATAATTCCATATATATGTGAGAGCAATCTCTTTATTGAGCATAACTTCATAATTTAATTCAGTTTTCTGATACTTTTTTTTTTTGCTTCTTCATTTCTGAACTGGGTTTACTGTACAAATAAGCCATTGAATTTGGAGTCCCACAAAACAATAGTGGTAAATATTTGTTTTGCTTGCTCTTTTTTGTTTGTTTCATTCATGGAAAAGAGCGATTCCAGCACGCAGAAAAGTTTTACAAAACCACTGCTGTGATTTCTTTTACAAGTTTTCTGCCACCTCCTGTAAAATCTTAGATGTACAGAAACCGAAAAGTAAAACACATGCATTAGAATCAGAACGTCAGTCTTCTGTTCCATACCTTGTAATTTCTGAAACAGTACTAGTTCTATGATTTACTTAATTCAAATTCCAAAACAGGAGAAAAGTGCAAATGTTTAGCTGTTAGTTTCTCTCCATTTGACACAGCAGTTTTGCAGCTGTATCTTTGTTACCTAGGAAACAGTTGGAAATTAGAGATTGAGTGCTATTGCCATCTTTGACAGTTTTGAACATTTGTCCATAATACAGAAAAATTATTATATTTGACAACTTAACATGCTAGAGAATAAGATATATATGGAAACTAATTGGCTATCTGTTAAAACTCAGCAATACAATAGCACCCCTATTCTTATTGTCTACA